CCCACCACCTGGCACATACAAGTGCCACCTCTGTGTGGTATTCAATCAGTCCTCGGGCTCTGGCCCCAGGAGGGCAGAATCTGGACTTATGGATCGCTTGCTCTTCAATCCTAATTTCCTCCTCCACCTCTCTCACCTGCATCCACCTTGCCCATCTGCCCTGATCCACTGGTCTCTCTGTAATATCCGTCCCAATGTCCAGGTCAACAAGGGTCCCTCAACCTGGAACATGCATGAGGCTTTGCCCTGAGGTCATAATGATGCATCTGAGAGGTGTTTTGGAAGCAGACTGTGCAGGGTGGACAGTATCTGCGGATGATGGGCAGGTGGGGGGCACCCAGGAGTGCAGGAGTCTGGCTGGGACCCTCTGGAGACCCTCACACACCTGGGCAACTGGGGTGGGTAACTACAGTCACACAATCAATGGAGACCCCAGACTGGAGTGGCCCTGCCTATCCCTGGCCCCCTCACCAGGACACCTCCAGCCACCTTCCATAGTGGCTCTGAGCTCCAGCAGAAATGTCCCAGCCCACCACACCAGCAGTGTGTCTTTCTTTTACGTAAACAGTCTCTCTCTCTCTCTCTCTCTCTCTCTCTCTCTCTCTCTCTCTCGCACCAGGACTGAACTCAGGGGCACTGAACCCCTGAGCCCCATCCCCAGCCCTTTTTCTATTTTATTTAGAGACAGGGGTCTCACCAAGTTGCTTACGGCCTTGCTAAGTGGCTGAGGCTGGCCTCCACCTTGCGATCCTCCTGCCTCAGCCTCCGGAGCCTCTAGGATGACAGGTGTGGACCACGGTGCTTGGTGCCTGGACCCACAGTGGGGTCTCTGTGGCCTGCCTGGCTCTCTCCACGCCCTGGTGGAGTCTCTTTTAGAGCAGCAAAGGGAGACGTGGACCCACCAACCCAGTGACTCACCCCTCCTTCATCCTCAGCGTCTTCCCACTGAACTCCTGTGCCCACAACCTGCACACAGTTCTGGGCTCTGCATGGCTCCTCTCACTCCTCTCAGGACTTCTTTCTGTCCAGCATGGCCTCAGCATCCCCTCCTGGGCTCACGCCCACCTCGGAGCTTTGACACTAGCCGGTCCCCTTCCTGGAATGCCAAGCCCCAAATCCGGCGTCCTTCAGGGCTCTGGTCCAATGCCATCTCTTAGGATCTGAAATAACCCTGTGGTGCCCAGAGCTCTCTTTGCCGCCAACTCGTCCTGTTATCATCACTTGAGGCCCAGCCGTCTGCAAGAGTGGCCTTGCTCACTGGCCCTCTGACCCCTTCTGTTCCGTGCATGTGCGATGCCCACGGCTGTGCAGGAAGCAATGTGGTGGCTTCCAGGGGAGAAGGGACATGCAGTGTCAGAGAGGGAAGAGAGGTTCATGCAGACAGTGGTGACAGCCTTGTAGGGAGGTCATGCCACGGGGTGGGGGAAAGGGGGGGTCTACCAGAGTCGGGGACACCTTCCTTGCAAACCGGCTCTGTCCCCCCCCCCGGCTGGTGACTTTGGGGACATACCTTCGCCTCCGTGGGTCTTGGGTTCCTTAGGCTGAAATTGGGTCCAATACCCGCAGCTCCCCTGATGGGGTGCATATCCAAGGCAGGGGTCAGCCCCTCTCCAGTCCTGTCCCCTTGAACGAGTCCGGGATGCACCGCCCGCCGCACCCGCCAGGTGTCGCCGCGAGAGCGCGCTGAGCCACCAAAGGGGCGCCCCAGCCCTCAGGCAGCTCCCGCGCCCCACGATTGGATTGGGTGCGCGGCCACCCCATCCCGGTAGCGGGACCCCAAGGTGTGGGGGGGGACTGTCCCACCCAGGCTCCCACCTGCCGCCCCTCTCGGGGTAGCA